ATCACAATCTCAGAAAACAACATTAAGGTACCTGTAGCCATGGAACTCAATTTCCATGTTGCTTTCATAGAACACCTCCCCCCCCACTACTCCACCAACATCTCTGTATTCAGTATGTATTGAATCCAGTAACAAATAATACTAAAAGCAAATCAACACCGGTCTCTTCGTAAAGTTAGCCTTACTTATGGGGCATGACTAACTGTCCCTGAAGTTAAAAGTAAATGCAGTCTAGTTAAAACTGGCAAGAGAGGTTGTTAAGATATATTAATAGTTTGTTAAATAGCAGTGTTGGCTGCTGCTGTTTAAGAAAGAGAAAAAAAGGAAAACGTGATGGGAACCCCGAATGATGAAATGTCTGCGGGGGCAGCCACTGCTATGACAACCGGTTCCACAGTGGGTGAGGAGTAACAACAGAGGGTTTCTGTTGATGTGTGTGAGTTTTGCTTTTTGTTTTCAAGGCTGAGATTCTGACAGCGAGAACATGGGACGAGTGGCAGTGAGTGACGTGCAGAGGGCAGAGAAAAGAGCACCCAGGTAATAAAGTAAGAGTCACAAGAATTCTGAAACTGTGCCAAATCAGAAACACCATAATCCTGTCCTAGAGACAAGCCCTGCCAAATTCCACTTCACAGGCAGTGGTTACTAAGGCTAAATCCTATCCTTATTTAAACTGGTACTTACACTTAAGGCCTCTGAAGGTGTCGCCTGCTGTGGCCCCCACCCCTGCCTCTTTTTCTTCTTCTGAGGAAAGAAAGGGTGGGAATCCACAGCGCCTCCCACATCCAACCCCAGCTGAGTCTGAGATTCTGCCTAGGGAAATAGATCTGTTTCATCCCCTAGAACCTTCCTGCCTGGCCTCATCAGAAATTCAGTTAAAATTATCAAGGGCAACTTAAAGGGCAAAAGAAGTCAAATTCTGGGAAGAGGATATGTTTAAAACAGGGCAGAATAAGGAATGAAGGCAGCAGTGGCTCAACACTAAGGTACCCCAGGGGTACAGTGGTCACAGGGAATGAGGCAGCCATCGTGTCCAACCGAGGGGACCCAGTGTCCAACAAAGGAAAGATCCCGGAGGCGTCCTCGGACAGAGGGCCTTGCCGAAGGGGAGTCACGTGGAAGTCTGGTGTCATCTACTCCAACCAGCTGACTAACTAAAGG